GAAATGAAACACGTAATCACGCAAGCCTTCAACGCCAGGGAGCGATTCCACGGCTCGCACTATGTGGGGTTCCGACAAACCGTACAGATCCTCACCTTTCAGATGTTCAGGAAAAAGTCTGACTAACTTATCCCGTTCACGTAACTGCTCGATTTTCGTGAGGACACATCTCCAAACGCCACTGCATGTCTCGTGGGTGAAAGTTTCGTCATCCATGTCTTTGTCGATGACAGTGATTCTGAATAACGGTTTGCCATCATTTTCAAGAATTTCACAAACGTAGCGAGCTCTGGACTTCGGTTTTCTCATGGACCAATAGATTCTAGTTGATCGAAATCCAACCGGGTAGATATACCGACGCGCATGGAAGTATCCACTTTCTATTTGATGTGGCAGAAGTTGACCGACGCTTTGTAGGTAAACTGTTCCAATTCTCACCACACTTGTCCGGTCCTCCTCGTGAATAACACTACCTACCTGAGTGTTTTCGTCCCGGGATATGTAAACACGTCGATGGACAGCTAACGAAAGCAACTGCATGGGGTGTTGCTCTTTCGGTTGATGTTGAGGACAGTACATTCCACGATCAGTGAAAAACATACACTTCAGCTCAACGGCACAAGACACGTGATAAACCGATGTACACCTGGGGTTGTAGCAGGGCAGCCCAGCACCAAAATTCCCACAATGTGAACAACTAGTCTCGGTAGCCTTTTTTAGCCACACATCTACGTTATTGAGGGAACCACCCACAGTTTCATATACTTCGAAACACCACAGAGCACAGTTAATATGAAGCCATTTGTCTACATCATACGGTAACAGTCGGCCGAGACTTTCCTCTGTCGCATCTCCGCGAACCGAGCACAAAATACAGACTCGATGGTCTGTAGCATCTTTCAGGAGTAAATGTGATGAATGGTCCTTCAGTAATTCCGAAACGTTTTCTTCACACCAGTAATTGGATTGAGGTTTTGAATACTGTGACAGAGAATGGGCTGAAAACACACGCCATCGGGAGCCTCGCCATCGTTTGCTTTTGAAAGAACTTAATCCCGCGTTAATATTCCGTCGCTTGCATCCGGGTCCCAGTGAACTTGTGGACATAACGTGACGTTTGGAGGCTTTGCCGGTTTTAGGAAGACCCCAATGCAATAGAACAGGGATGGAGGCAGAAAAATCACAAGCCAACGTGGGTTGTCGGGTATCTGCCGAATGGTGTGGGCCAATATCTTCGGTCATTCTGGTGATACATCCAACGTCATCCACATGACGATTAGAGACTAGACGCGAAAACTGAACGAAGCATTCCACAGAACAAAACACAAAATCGCCATTCAGATCAGTTCGAGATGAAAGCCCACTGAGAGCAGCTATTTCTTCCAAACACTTTCGATGTCCGGTATGAGGGGGCACAGGCTTATCACAGTTTTGACAAGGTTTAATGACCGTGCGTTTTGAAGTTAGAAGTGACGGGATACTGACAGGTTCCTCCACGTAACGCGATAGTTCAAGTTTCGACAGTGGGACGTCTTTACCGCTATTTGATGAGTCGAAGCTCGCAGATTTGGTTAATCCCAGTGACGGTGAAACTAGAGCATCCGAGTCACCGGGAGTCGGAAGTGAACCAATATCCTCGGATTGATTTGTGGCTTTTTCGACATGAAGCGATAAAGGAGTAAACTGCTCCCGTAGTTGGCTCTCTAGGTTCTTCATGACGCTTTCGCTTTGTGACTGTTTTTGGTCGAGGGTAATTTGTGCACCGGACCTAGTTACCTGATAGCACACAGCGTTCTGGTCGATCCCCAGCAATTCTGCGATACGCCTTACAATTTTAGAGACACCACTCGTCATCGATGGATTGATAGTGAATGTGATATGCAACTTCTCTGCTCCCGTATCGGCCGGCAAGATCTGCTCAGCTTCAGGTATACGCCTTCCAGCAACTACTTCACCAGTTTCTGAATCAATTAGCGGACTGTTTCCTGCAGGAATGCCATTGTATTCTGGTCGTGGATGCACCGTCTGATCTGACGGACTGTTGCTCACTTTAGACTCTCGAGGTTCGTTCGGTTCATCACCAGTATTGCATGGAGCTGACTCGCTAACCTCGCGATCACCGGTTCCAAGGCAAATGGGCTGACAAATTAGTCGTGGATTGGGCATGTGGAACAGAGGCAAAGGAGGAGTGCACCTCTCAGGATCCGGTTTACCCACAGAAACCTCGGAGAAAATTGGAATGAGCTTTGAATCCAGAACGGTATGACCCAAAGGTTTTGTGGGAACACACTCAACGGGCTTTTGTTCCTTTTCACATTTGGGTGGCCGATGCATACTCGAAAACAACGCCCGCATATGGTTCTCAAAAGAAGGTGGCTCGGGTGAGGAACACACGGGATGCGCACAGCACGACAGTTTCTGGAATTTCCTGGGGCTAACTAGCGCGCCCAACGGTGCAGTGGTTCGCAGATGTTGGAGTATATAGCTATCGGCTTTGGAATCCTTGTGACTAGGAAGCTTTGGGACTTGCATCGCTAAAGGACCACGGGAGTACTTCAGACCCCTTCGTCTCATAAGGTCTAACTCGTCCATATGACTCAAAGGACTTGATGGAGGGTCTGATCCACCGGCAGGAAGTAAGACGGATGAATGTGGCTTGAGGAGAGGTGCAGAAACCAAGGATTTTACATCACATCCTTTCAGTTTTTCAATGCATTCCTGGAAAGTGGACCTCCCGGGTTGGATCGGATCGGGTTGCACCCTTATTTGTGAACCAGGAACGGGGCCAGAGATGGGCGATGCGGTAGCAACTGTTTTCCTTCGTTTATTTCCCGCCGAAGAGGAATTATGAGTGCGCTTTTTAACCCCGGGAACTGGACGAACAACGGTGTTTGGAGGACTGATTGCTACATGGTTATCCTTGTCTGTAATGACCGGAATGGCACCGCCAACTTGTCCACTCAGTGCTATTACAGACTGCTGTGGTACCACCGGTTGTCGAAAGGACACAGGAGATGTGGGACAAACCTTTTTCTCAAACGACTGGAAAGACGTGTAGGTTAGTGCGGTTTGATGATCAGTAGGAAAGTTGGAGGGGGTTGTAGTTTCATAAACAGGAGGTGATAACATGGGGTTTTGCATAACACATACGGTGTTTGATGGGCTGAACAAAACGGCTCTGCTGGAAACCAAACCTGTCGGCTCTGACACATGAGCGAGGGATGTGTATGTGGGGGAAAGAGTACCAACACGGGACACATGAGCGGGTAACGCATGCACAAGATTCACCTTAGTAGGAGACACCAGAGAACTGAACGTGCGAGGCACCGAGGAGGGTGGAACTGCGAATGCGTTTTGGGGCGCTACAACATGGTTTTGGAAACCATGGATTACATTGGAGTGTAAAACCATTTGAGTAGCTGGATTTAAGGATTTGGGCTGAGATCCTGACTGATCGGGGACTCGAGTATCCTGGATAGTTGATGAATCCGAATAAACATGCACAAAAGACACAGTAGGTTGGGTAACACCCTGAGAACCGCCCGAGGGATGAACTGATCGAGGAAAGTGAAGAACTCCCGATGCCTGATCCACAATAAACCTCGGAACAGACTGGGACACCACACACGGAACACTGCTTGACTGTACCAGTGACTGTGTTTTGGACTGATTGAGCATGGGTGAGGATATTACCCGATAGGGTGGCGGAGATGCTGGAGGTGGTGAGGAGGATGGAGATGCGAGTATGCCAGAGCTTGGTGTGTTGGCACGGAGATTAGGAGATGATAAATGGGTTGCATCGCGTGAGCGACAAGGTAGAACGAACATGCCTTCACACGGTTCATCGCTGCGTGCATATGATAGAACATAATCAATCGTTTCGTCCAATTTGGTTAAATCCATCCTAATGCGATCGGACTCATTCACAGACGCAGGTGTCTGGGACCCGGAACGACCGTTCACATCTAAGAGGACATCACCAGGAGGCGTGAAACAACCAGGTACACCGGAAGACGGCGTGACGATTGAACCGTTGCAATGATTTGAATCGACAAGACAGTTCTCCGCGGGATGTGGAGACAAACTAGGATTGGAGACTGATTTGGGCTCGGTTGCAACCTCGGCGAGACCCTGTTCTTGGGAACCAAGGGGACTTTTAAAAGCGCTAGTAGGAGTCGAATCACATTTTTCCAGTTGCTTTAGATCCAGGCATTCGGAGGAATTTTCTTTAGAGCCTACCAGGCAAACATTGTCATCACCGAGAGGAGATGGTGAATATTGCCGGTGATTTTCCACTCTATTTTTTAAAGAAGCCCGTAGTAACAAACTCTCACGGGAATCCCCGCTCAGAGGTAACGTAAATTCATCGATCAACCCATGACAGTTCACTGCATTTGACACCGGTTTCGACTGGTTTCCTGGTTCGCATACGGGACTGCACGAGATCCTACCGTAACTGCGCGACTGACATGGGGCAACTGGGCTGACAATCGCAAGAGCCTTATCCTCAGAAGTTTTATTCATTCCACTGATATTCATTCCGCATTGCAAGGACTGAGAGGGCAGTCACCGAGCTACAGGGTGCAAACAAACAAAACAGATGTCTTACAAAAAAACTAGAACGACCTACTGCTCAAAGAAAACCAGTGAGAAAATTCATCAAAATTGTACTGACAAACATTGTTATAAATTTCATAAAAATAAACCCCACTAAGTTAGCAACATTTTTGGCACCAACATAGAAACTTACCGATAATAACGGGCGAAAAATAGTCCACATAAGTCCTATTTAGATGAACGATACGCGTTCAAAGAAGGAAATTGAACCCGAATACTGGTTAAAACAAACAAATCATCGACCATTCTCGTTGGGCACAATTATCCACTTTTTCAGCTCTCTAAAAAGTCAGGCTCATCGAAGCATTTTTGGAATGCTATAATTTCTAGTATGTTTTAGTTCGGATCAGAGCATTTCGAAGCTAAAGACAGGTCTGGTCAGGTCAGGTAACGTCAGGTCACAAAACTTTAGGGTAAGGCCAGGGGACTTCCAGATCGTTTCACTTGTGAGCTGATGGTTCCCACTGTGCTTCTATTGCCAGGAAGTTCCACATTTGTCTGTTGGATNTTGCCTACAAGAGAACAAACGATGAGCAGGATCCTCCTCAGTGATTCTGCAGTCTCAGTAGTTTGACGGGCGTCGCAACTCAGAGAACCGAGAAGTCTGCCATGAGAGCTACCTGAGGGATGTAAAATGTTGTGGCATTCATCCGTGAGGCGTTTGGTACAAAAGAGTGGTACTGAAATAGAAAGGGAGCTACAAGATTGAGTCATGCGTATCCCGCAAGCAGCCAAAGGCTGGGGAACAACCGACGGTTCAGAGGGTAAAGCCCCTCAGTGTTAAGCACAGTACGAGCCAAAATCCTCTTTCGGTGGTGCCAAT